GGGGGGGGTAAATGAAAAACAAACAAAATGTGGGCGTCTTTTGGTACCACGGCGTCTGCAAGAAGATGAAAATGGAATTATAAGTCAATTAGGCTGTTAAATTGGCTGCATTTGTTTGAGAAGTTCCCATTTATTTGCGCCTTAATTTCTCCACCTTTTCTTGACTTGGTGCAGACTCTTATTTCAAATATCTGCACAAATTATTATCGATGGACTTACCTCCACGTGGTGCACCTTGGGCAACGTATTCTCATACAGCAAGCAAGTCCGTTAACTGGCAATTGACTTCTCACTTCAACCTACCATCACCCCACTGTATGTCATATTCGACTCCTTCCACAATACTCACCTCACCTTTGTTCTACCTTTGTGTCTGTCTCCTTTACATCTTTGAAACACTCTTCTGTTTCCCCCCTCCCTATCGACTTTTTCAATTTGATGCTTCTTCACCTCTGTGAAGCCTGAAGTCAACTAAAGAGCTAATGATAACCATCAAGACGCCTGCCATTGGACATAATAATTATCGCACAATTCACTTTGTTGAGAACACACCCGCTTTGACGTTATGCGAAAATTTGACAATAGAGTTTAGGTTTGTCTTCACTTTTATACTTCTCCTCAATATTAGGAAATTACCAAATTTGGAGAAATTTAGAAAGATGCTAAAATTAACACCTAGGTGTGACTTTATTTTAGAAATGGACTTTACTTATTCCAAAATAATGATTAGCTCCCTAGATATTGAACCGAGAACTTGATTATTGATCATCTAGTCGACTCCAGACATTTCTGACCTCAATGAACTTGTATGTTGTCCAAGAGCTGAGGCGAGTCAACAAAAAGTTTTGAATTGACAGCTGGGTTCACTCAAGGTGTATATTAGCTAACCCCCACCCCCTGATATTATAAATCCTCCTCAATTTCCTTTATTATTAAAGTAAATTTGAGGACAAATTTACATCATCATCAGACAACTTGAAAATCCTCCTTGCGCATATTACAAGGTGCGTTCATTTCAACTAAACCCATTTTACGTCAATTCAGATGAAGGCATAAATGCCAGTATCATAACATCATCGACAATTGCACTGGAAAGGGGAATTCTTTTTTAATTCCCGCTTAACACTCCCGCCTCGTAAGCGCAAAAACCAGTAAGGCACGGAATTTCAATCACATGCAGTAAGGTTTCAATCACAAACCCTCATTCAATTTTTTAGGGGGACCTCAAATTAAATTAACGACAGAAGTTAATTTTCCACCCAACTAGCAACACCATCCATTCAGTTGCGTCCAGTAAATATGCCAGAAATGGCGTTATCATCAGCAAATTTCTGCCTCCCATAAGGACAATATGACCTCCCTCTCCACCCCCCTCCCCCCTCCCTCCACCCTCG